CGTTCAGAAATGTCCCGTGTACATGGGGCCTAAATGTGCAGCAGAGTCAGTACATTGTAAAGCAACAACCTTATCAGTGCATATTTGCAGCATATACAGAATATATCAGGCTTTTTTCAGAAAGTTTTCAGAAAAAAACAAGTCTTTCTTTTTTTCTGTGTAGCATCGGACAATGAACATTGGTTTCTATGGGCAACATTAATTTTTTTTTCATATATAAAGGACCAATCATTCTAAAAAGTCATATATTAGTTACATTTTGAGTGTAATGAGCGAGCTGTTAATACTAAAGCCTTTGGGGACTCCAGCAACAAGATCATGCTGCAGTATTTCCAGACTTTCTTTCCACCCTCTTTGGTGTTTTGGGTGTTGCCACCTACCTGTGGGTGTTCCCATTCCTTTCAGTTATATTTGCTATAATTTAAAAAATGAATTAAACATAAAAGAGGGGTATGTGCCCGTAAATCCACCCTTAGGGGGGGCCCCCCCACGCACCCCCCCCCCTTCCACAAATGTCCATAGCTGGGAACTCAAGACCTAGCCATCAGACTAGTCAAGCTATATAAGAATCTGCTTTAATTCATCAACATCCACCACCAAAGGAAATATTAGTTTTGGGTGTAATGATGTGTTAAGTATGAGGCACTGTCGGAATCTAGACATGCAATCTAACACAACTGTCCGCCACTGCCAAAATGGCAGTGATCATTGATCTGTACAATGTTCAGTGGTGTCAGTATTTATTAATACCATTCTAAAGGCTGAATTCACCTGGGACACTACCCTGATGTGATCGCACAGATCAGAGATGTCTAAATTTGTCCGTGTTTCTCTGTGCTGTATTTGTGCTTTGATAGAATGTGGGGATTTGCTATTCTAGAAGGAAAAAATGCAAAAGTTCGCAGTGCCAAATAGCAAGTTCTATTTATACAAGTTTTTTCCTGACATGGTCATTTATTTGTGGGAAGAAAGAAGCCTAAAAAATCTAATGAAGCAGTGCAGTCAGACAGGCTGCCCTCCAACTGCCAAGGTGCTACGTATGTGTGAGAATGTAGAGGCGTTTAAAATATTCTTTATTATTGTCATGACTAAAAATATTATATTTTCATATGAAACCAGTGGCTGGCACTATATTGTCCTTTTTCTATGTCATTTCTCTGCTTTCTTGAAAGAAGCTAATGTTTTTGCTAAAATTTACAGACGTAAATGAAAGCGTCAGAGTGACTCCCCTTACTACTGCTATTTCCAGTCAGGAGTTTCAATTGGAGACAGAAAGGCAAACATCATCTGTCCTCTTTCTTTTGAATACAAATAGTGTTCTGTTATGCTTGTATTCCCTATATTAAAACAGTAGTAAACTCAAAAGCAAACATTTATTATATTGCAGCTTACCAATTCTTAGATGTGGTGGGTGCATTATTTTTTTTTTCTTTTGACATTCTTTCTTTTATTTTCATCTGGAGATCTGGCCAGTAAGTAAGTAGGTTTGGTTTTTTTTTTTCTCAAAAGATCAAGTGTATCAGTTAGGTGTGCTGAGACAAAACATTTACCACTGACAAGGATGCTTACAATTATATATTCATGTAAAACCTTTATCCTAAAAGAAAAGAAAAAAAAAAATGTAAAATTGCTGTGTGAGCTGGAGTTTGGTTTCAGTTGGTTGGTGTATTTAAAGTGTTAATAAACCCACAACAGTAAAATCAGTCTGTATATGCAGAAAAGCATGCTTGTTATACTCACTGTGGTACCTAAGGGGTTAATCCTCCACATTGTGTGAAAAGGATGTGGGATCCTGTCTTCTCTGATCCTCTTCTCCTTCTACTGTCCCCAATCCATCTGCTGATAGAACAGAGCTTGGGGGGCAAGTGGCACTGGCACATGCTCAGTTTGGTATGTATTGTTAAAAAAAAAAAAAATTTTCTTGGGAGGGTGCATGTGATCAGCACAGGGCCAATCAGCTCTGTCCAGACAGAGGGTCAGGGGTTATGCAGCCTCATAGGACAATCAGGGGAGAATGAAAACTTCTCCTACAAGATTTACCCAGTGCTCTGCTGGATACTGATAAAAGTCACAAGACTGCTCTAACTGCTGATGAGAAAAAAATAGCAGTTTATATTTACTAAAAGAATTGCATTTCATGTTCAGTGTACTGGGAGACCAGATATAGTGAATGCACGGTTCTGGGTTTAGGAACACTTTAAATCTGCGAGTCCATCTAACACTGCCCTCCCCCCAGATCGACAATGCTGCTGTCCAAAGGTGCTCCCTGTGCTCCTTCATCCAGAGTTTTGTTTCTCTAATACAGTAGGTGTGTTACTGGCCATATCACCATTTATATACTTATACTACTTTACCAGCACTCCTCCACAGTTCCTGTGTCCATCACAGCTGGTGGCAACACCCAATGCTTTTGAGTATAGGGGAGCATGTGACTTCCTCCCCAGTTACAGTGCTTGGGTTTAGCAGCCAATCACTAGGCCTGAGAACTGTCACATGACGTTATCGCTCCCCTTATCTTCTAGTTGTAGCCATCACTGTACCAGTCATTATAGTGCCAGCGGTGATGGAGGCAGGGAGCAGCAAGAGAGCACTGGCAAGGTTAGTATTAGGGGTCCAGGGTGGGGTCTATATAAAGAGATTGTAACTTTGTCCTTAATGGAAAAGGTGATGAAATCTTTATAAGTTTGCAGCAATAGCTCAAAATAGGTACTCAGAAAATGCTCATTATTTAAGATCAACTACTTTCTTAAATTTGAGTTGTTATGAATTCTATTTACATACATGATTTTCTTTAAGAATTAAAATCATATTTCCTTTTAAAGACTGCTTCTTATCTTTGCCTATATTAGACAGTGCAGTTAGCATCCTCGTTGAATGATTGCTTTAATTCAGCAAATTTACTCAAAGTCTGGTTGAGAGGAAGTCACATGACTGTGTTTTAGTGCAATAAAAACTTTATTGTTAGTCTAAAAAAGATCATTATATTATATACATAGGTAACAAAAATAAAAGCATGGTCTTTCTTCTGGTGTGTTTTATATACATGTAATCATGTGTAGTACAGATTGCTAGGAAGCATAAGGAAGACCGAGAGAATTTCATTAGGCACTTGCAGTGATACCATACAGCACTGATCTCAGGAGTGGACCAAATAATCGGTATGATGCCAGTTACATTCATGGAAGGTTTGAGTGCAAGTGACAGAGCGGTATGAAAAGTACAAAGTTATTGTTTCTCGCTTTTCTTTGGAATTTTAACAACCAGCTCCATTGGCTCCTTCTGTTTGTTGCTGTAGGACTGACGAATGACGTCCACTGCCCGCTGGTGTGTTACGCTCTGCAGGGTTTCCCCATCCACAGAGACAAGCTCATAGCCTGCCTATATAAAAAAACTGGTGTTAGTTTTTTTTTTTTAAGGTAAAGGTTATCGAAATTTTAAATTACAAAAAGTAGGTTTTGCACTTACACTATACAGGTTAAATGCACACTATTTCCATGTTTGCAGTGCATATACAAATCCAGGAAAAAAGAAGAGCGGAGTGACAATGAATCTATTTATATAACTACATATATAGTATAAGAGCACACAGTTCAGCTATAGATACCATTTCACTATATACAGTATATAGACATTGGCAGGCATACTTTATGTCTACAGTTTGTATAATCTATTCTAGAAAAATGATAAGGAAGAGCGGAGAAGGATTAGAGGGTAAAGGAAGGGGGACATGGAGGAAGGAAGGGGTGAGAATATAGAGACTAGGACCATAGCCTTAAAGGTTGGATGTAACATCACTGGCTTTAGCACTTTAACTTCTGAACTGATTGCTAGACAAGTCAGTATACAAGAATGCATCAGCAGAATCATAGTATTGTTTTAAAGTGACCCCTTAAATTGGTGGTAAGTGGTAAAATGCCCTGGCATATTTAATATCACTTTTCTGCTACCTATTATAGTGTCAGTTGTTACTTACCCAACTATTGGTCCTGTCCTGCTCATTTTGCCAGTAACATCTATGCCGTACCTATGTAGTCACTGTTGGTCAGCACGTTCAACTGCAGCTGACAGTTGCTGTATAATTTCAAGGCAGACGTGCCCACTTAAAAGCACTTTCCACCACCATGTTAAAAAGACAAACATAATACAGTATACTGTATATGGTGTCCTCAGCATCATGGCAACAAATCAGGGCTCAATAATTACATTTTTTTTTTACATGCATTCAATGCAAAAGAATTCTTGTGAACACTGTAGGCTCTTACAAACAGGGCCTGCCTAACCCTCTTGCATTGAACTCTATTGTAACTGTATTGTCTCGTTTTATTGTGTAATGAGCTGTGCAAACTGTTGGCCCTATATAAATCCTAAAAATAATGAACAGAGATAGTACGTTATTTTTTTATTTTATGTGTATGTATGAGTGTGAATTAGACACCTTAGATTAAGCATTCACATCAGTCCCTAACTCCATATACAGTGTACTATGTGTATATGTAAAGCACTGTGTAAATTGACGACACAACGTACGTACCTAAAATAAATAAATAATACATTCATTTCACATTACCATCAGATCAGCATTGTATAAATCAGGCCTTGTAACTTGGAAGACCAAACAGCCTCTATGGTAGGCATCTAGAAAGCAAGGACAAATGCAACACAGGAAAAAGAGAGAACATTTTTTGACAGAAGACTGTCACCTGTGCTGGCACCATACAGTCACCGTTGCCCTGTGAATTGATGTGCAGACTGGTGGTGACTGCATAATGTCTTACTACCAACCACTGATATAAGGGGACACTTTAAAACTGTCTGATATCAATAGTAACTTACATGGCCACTGGACCCATGCCACTGGGTCTGGCACTGATATCCATGCTTGAACTAGGCATATACTGCCAAGCAACTGCAGAACTATATATTTACCACTGGATAATGGTGACTGCTTAGTTCTGGTGTAAAGATCACTGCCAGAGCCTCGGGTGTGGGACAAGCTCTACTTAGTCAAGGAAAAATCAAGGCTGGTAGCATCATATAGGTTGCTCTGCTATGCAATAAATGTTGGTATCTGTTTACTATGTTGGGTGGAAAGGCATTCATTTCTTCCCAACAAGACAGAAATAATACCTGGAGTTCACCACTGAGAAAGGCTGCTCCTCCGGGAAAAATCTTTTCAATTTTCACCATGGGTTGTATTTTGGATTCAATTCCTCCAGATATGCTGATTCCTGAAATAAATTGGAGCATGTGGAAAATAACTTCATAGGTGGATGAATGCTTTATTGCTGACTTTCTGGATGAGTAAATAGTTGCTGCATTTGTGTTAAATGATGGCGTGCACTAACCCACTATTCCTGACCAGTTGCTAAGAGTTTCTTTGCACCACTGATTTTTGTGCTGTTGCTTAATGACAGTAAGTGTTTAACGTAACCGAAATGCTGACGGTTACAGTTTGTTTCCATTTCTGTTACTTCTGATGAATAGCTTAGATTGCATGTACAGTATATGTAGAAAAAAACTTTAAAAAGGGCATAAAAAATTAAAAAAAATTTAGACAGCACTCAACTCTCCAAATCTCTTTATTTTAGTTTTGGATAGCATGGAAAAAAGTTAGAACTCCTTCCGGTGATCTCTGTATACTCAAAAGCAGATTTTCTCTTTCTCTCAATCACCTAGTGGGTCAGGAATGGACTCAGCACTGGTGGTGGGACTAGCAGCCCCCTGCCGTGTGGGCTGCAGTACCAGAGCTGACCAGCGGGTGCTCTCAGCACTGGTGGTGGAACTCACCTGCCGTGTGGGCTGCAGTACCAGAGCTGACCAGCGGGTGCTACCTCTTAGCAGCCAGAAGCTCACAATCAGCCAAACCTGGGGCTGATTACAGAAAGGTGTATATAAGGCATGACCAGGTCTGTGCAACGCAGCAGGAATACAGGTACAGAGGCTCATGGGAAACCATACACCAAGGCCCAGAGCACACACCTGGTCATGCCTTATATACACCTTTCTGTAATCAGCCCCAGGTTTGGCTGATTGTGAGCTTCTGGCTGCTAAGAGCACCCGCTGGTCAGCTCTGGTACTGCAGCCCACACGGCAGGTGAGTTCCACCACCAGTGCTGAGAGCACCCGCTGGTCAGCTCTGGTACTGCAGCCCACACGGCAGGGGAGTCCCACCACCAGTGCTGAGTCCATTCCTGACACCTAGACATCTCCCTCATAGAGTTACAGATAACAATATGAGGATCTACACCTTCCTCACTCTACTAGTAAATGTGTTTTATTGTTGCCCATGTCTTCTCTCATGTCCTACTTTGCATGGAATCCATTAAAATTGGAAGTAGGGAGACTTTAGCTCTCTTCCTGCTATGTTTAACACCCATTAAATAGGAAGTGAGGAAGAATTGTATAACAGGGACAAAAAAAAACAGCTGAAAGCTGGCAGAGGTTCTAACTAGATCATTCTGTTTAAACTAAAAAAAAGTACATACTTTAACCACATATAGCAATCAGTACACAATATTGTTTGCAAAAGTTGTAATTTAGCTTCAGCTCACCTAAAGACTGTTTCGTTTTGGAGATTGTCACAGTGACCAGCTCATATTCCTCCTCTTTGTCCTCACTAAAGCCATTCTGTGAAACCTGCTCCGGTTCTAGGTGATTGCTGTCTGACCGTATAGGCCTTAGCTTGATGTCAAAGTTGGATGGATTCAGAGAGACCCCTCCAAATATCTGAGACAAGATTGGCCTGGATTTCTTAGCCTTGCTGATGACTGAATACACCTCATCCTTTTTTTCTTTAGATTTACTGCGAATAGTTCTAGGCACTCGAGAATCCTCACTCGTTTCTTTTTGGTCCTTTCTACTTCTTGTAGGCAAAGACTTATTGTCACTGGTTCCCAATGTGGAGCCATTAATGAGCATGGAGGACAAATCAGACGACCTCTTGATGGGTTCAGTAAGGAGCCAGTTTGGCCGTTCTGGCCTAGAGGAAGACTTCTTCACAGTAGTATTTTGGGCATCAAAGGAATCGACTGGCACATCTTCAAGTGGGGTAAAGTTTTTAGGATATGTTCGCTTGACATTTGGATCTGAGACCTGTAGTCTCTCCATTTCCCCAGGAAGCGACTTGCTGCCATTCACATCATCTACTGGTTTCAGTTGGAAAGTCCCTCTATGATCTGCAAAAAAGAAAAAAAAAACTATAAACAGACACTGTGAAAACTCACTTTAATCCTTCTTGCCCAGTCCCAAAGTCCCTTTAATGGGGAAGAGATTGGACAATCACGTGACCACTGTCATTGGCTGTCACAGTGGTCACATGATCAGGATCTGGTCCTATATATTATATGAGATTTTAGGGATTGGATTTGGATCCATTTTAAAACATATATATGTATATTGTGTGACCTGTAAGTATATACAGTATTTGCCATACCTGTGTGATCCCCTTGGAAGCTGGAAATCACTGTTGTAGGCATGGCTACTACATTGATCGCCACTAGCTTTCAGGTCATGTGCCAAGTGGCTGCCCTGCTGCATAGTGAACACAGGGGTGAACACTCAGTAAAGGCACCATTTAGGAAATACTTTGCATTTTCTCAGTTAATGCAAAGTGTCATCTGACTGGACAAGGTGGAAAGGTGGGAGAGTGATGTCATGCTCTTGAAAATACAGCCTTTTCTGAATGGCTCCTGTGCCGAGTTAGCAACCGAGTTGGGCAGCCACTCGGCATGGAACCCGAAGGCTAGTGGAGATCGCTGTAGTAGCAATGCCTACAACTGTGATTTTCAGCTTCTTTGGGGGCACATATATACTTACAAGCTGGAACAGTGTAACTATGTACAGTTTCTATTTACCAGCAAGTGTCTTTAAGGTGTATGTCCAGCCAGAACATATTTTTGGTTAGAGTGTGGAAGTGTGGAAGGATTCGAACACCAAAAGAAATAGACAAGATTAAAAAAAATAAAATAAATAAATAAATATATATATATATATATATATATATATATATATATATATAATATGAGTCTCTTTTACAGATTTATCCCTCACTTCCTGTCCAGTAACATTGTACTTACCAAGACAATAAGTGAAGGGAAATTTCTTGCAAAGAGCAGTAGAAACAGGACAGGGTTCTGGTCTGTTCTCACTCAATCCAATGCACACAAGAAATGTTTTGGCTAGACATAAACTTTAAGAACTCAAACAGAAACAAAACATAAAAACTCCAAAGGCCCCAACAATGTTAAACACTGACTCAGTGGCAACATGAATGCATCCAAGAGTGTTTTTTTGCTAATCTCTGTTATGTTAGGTAAATTCTTCACATATTCCACCACTAATGTGTCACCAACACTCTGCTATATACAATCAATTGTGACCTCTGCTGGCCATTCTTGGTACAGCTGTATACTAGGACTACAGAGACCATAACTGAATATAGCCTTGCAGCTAAAATAGCTTTTTCTGGTGGCTTAGGTAAAAAGAAAAAGGAATATATTGGTTAAACTATTACTGACCTGGAATTGGGGTAACAAGATGCTTTCTTGGAAGTGTGTCATATCTGGCAGGTCTAAGTGCAGGAGATGCCACTGTAATGCAAATACACAATACTGGCATTAGTACATTATATGGAATGACTTGGGATTAAAGTTGAAGTTTAGGTACACTTACCTATATTGAAGAATGTCCCCATCCTGCAGGTGGTTCCTGTAAAAATCTCTCCAGTGATGCCTGGTCTTCTTCACAGCGCTAAACTTTCAGTGCTACGGGGATTATTAGCTTCAAGTCTACATTGCAGTACATTGAAGAAGGTTTCAACAGCCCCCACACTTTCCTCCCTCTCCTACAATAACAAAAGTCCTTCAAGGTTTTTAGAGAATGTAACACGTTCTGTAAATGGTGGTGGTGGGGGGGCTGATGAATGACAGGATCTTCTCCCCATTCAGAGAACGTGTTGCATTCTGTGAAAGTATTAAAAGGACTTTTGAAAGAAATGATGTCCTGATGAGCACCAGCCCCTTTCTCCTCTCTTCCATTGACAAACTTCAGCAAGGCTAGCCTTGAGGCTATTAACCCCTGCAGTGCTGGAAGTTCAGCACTGTGAAGAGGACCAGGCATCATTGGAGAGAAGATTTCTACAGGAACCATTAGCCTTCATTACAGGGAAAATATGTGACTATATATTTAATAACAAAAGCAAATCAGGGTGTAATCTCTTTACTTTGGCCTCTGCTGTTAGCTTCCCTCACCATCTCTCATTGCTAGAATTGGCATAAAAAACATTTGTAGACACAGACAGACACACTGATGACAGCTGTGAACTTTTTTCAGAGTAGCTACTATTTCTGTCATGGCAAAGGTCTGCTTTAAAAGTAAACGCACTGACCGTGGGATACATTGTGGGTGTTGTGTGTTCCTCTTTATTCATGCTCTGGCCATGTCCAACTAGTTATAGATTGTAAAGAATGCATTAAGAGCTTTTTACAGCACTCAGTGCATGGTTGACCTAATTAAATTAGATAAAAGCTGAAAAAGATTCTGGAATGAAATCTCTCATGGGAGCCTATGGATGGAATGTTACATTCTTAGAATATAGAACTTAAAGGAGAGCACCAGGAGGAAAGACAACACTTATACTGTATATACGGTTGCATACAAACATTCAAACCTGCAGCTGCACATTTTACTGATTTTCTAAGACAGAATTTAGCACAGGCTTCCCAGGGAAATGACACATCTATTTCTGGTAATTTTATTGTACATTTAATTCTGATGGCCTTTACTCTTACTTGCATAAGTAAGCAAACACTGAGGATACATTGTAAGGTATGATTTGGTAGCTGAATGTGTTTCTGGTATCCACTTCCCTGTGTCCATTTGGTTTTCTTTTATCTGCACTAATGTGTCTACTCTTGGTGGGCTTCAACACTGCACAATGTATATACTGTTCATCTTTAACTTTTTCAATTTTCGGGATGGCCTCATAGGCTATGCCTCTTAAAGTGGGGATCCTCAACAGCTTCATTTGTTTTTGGCATCCTTGTTTGGCCCAAAGATGTGTTTGTGATATCACCATGCCTCTGCCTTTACGCCAGCTTTACTTTTCTGCTGTCAGCCTGACTGCCTTTATCTTCTGCCTATATTCTTCTTGCAATTCAATATGCCTCTCTTCTAAATCCTTGCCTATGTTTGACTTTTTTTTCTAATACCGTGTTTCCCCGAAAATAAAACATCCTCCGAAAATAAGACCTACTTACAGGTTTCCTTCTGGGTGAAATATAAGGCATCCCCCCGAAAATAAGGCCTCCCTAGGCTCTGTCTCGGAATGAAAATTAATTTACCGTAAACTGGTTGCTAGGGCCACCCCGACTGGCGTCCAGCAACCAGTGACGTTAAGCGGAGTCCTGATGTCACTGCTGTGTGGAGGCGGAGCAGAGGTCGGAGTGAGCGGTGAGTGCGGGGCGGGAGAGAGGAGGAGACTTTCGCAGATGCGTGTAGAAGAACAGGAGGATCAGAGCAGACGGGACGTGGCGAAGGTGGTGAGTGCTGGTCTGTCTCTGGTGACACTGCCTGATGCTCGCGGCCGCCCTCATGATGACTGAAGGTTCTCAGTCAGTGGCAGACCGTGCTCCAGCCCAGGTCCAGGCCCCAGCCAGCCCAGTGACAGTCCCCAGGCAGGCCCCAGGGGGGAAATGTCTGATAAAGGGGTCGGGGGGATGTCAGTGAAGGTGTTCAGTGGCACAGGGGTGAGGGGAGGGGGATCACTTAAAATGACACAGGAGGATCAGAGGGGGCAATCAAAATGACACAGGGGTTACTAAAATGGTAATCCCCCCTCTGATTCTCCTGTGCCATTTTGATTCCCCCTCTGATCCCCCCTGTGTCATTTTAAGTGACCCCCCACCGTACCGTATACAGGTAATAAATTTCCTTTATTTTCATTTAACAATAAATGTGTACCGTATTCTTCTTCATGGAAAAATAAGACATTCCCTGAAAATAAGACCTAGCGCATCTTTGGGGGCAAAAATTAATATAAGACACTGTCTTATTTTCAGGGAAACACGGTAATTCTACCTTGCCATAATATGTTCTGTTTCTGCTGCCACAGACTATCATATGACCACTTTTGTCTGGCCCTAAAAAGTTCACTGATAATTCTTTCTTGTATCCTACAAAGTCTTCTTCTCATGCTGCTGTTGCAATGACTCCAGGGCTGACCCTATAGGGCACAGGTGATGCTGGTGTTGCTTTCTTTCATATACAGCCATTGCCAACAAAGATATTCCAGGTCCAACCACAGCTGTAGCTGACTTTACAGTGCCATAGTTTCTCTGTCAAAGTGCTGCAAATGTGTGCAAAAGCTATTCAGCATGCCATGTAAAGGCCTCATGCACATAGGGCATTTTGCCATCTCTCCTAGATCCCTTTATTCCTGGGCGGTGGCATTTTGACAGAAAAAAAATGCTTGGCGCATATAAAACACATGTAATGCATTTAGGTGCATCAAGCGCATAGGTGTTAATTCATTTAATTGACTAGAGTAATAAGTTGTTCTGGTCACTGAAATGAATTCACGCTCAAGCGCTAACCTGGCATAGCATTAAGGCCGTTTAGATGCGCCAAGCGTTTTTGTGTTTATCCAAAACACCACTGCTTCTAGATGGCAGCTGGATTTTACTTTTCCTTTAAACACCTAGGTGTGCATGGACACATAGGCACATATGGCATTCTTTTTTCTGCCTAAC